ATGACCTTTAATCTAACTGTTTCTATTTTTCTTAGATACACTTACATAGCAAAACCTAGAAGTAGTATTTGAACTCAATAATTTAAGGACATAGATATAATTGATTTAGGCGAATTAAGTCCATACCATGCAATGAACTAAATATGACTTAGCAAGATATCTCAAGAACATATAAATATATATCCAATTAAATGTATTTAGGAAGCAATAAGTGTTTAAGTTGGTTTTGCTCTATCAAGTCTTTTTTTGAATATGATTCTTTTAAATGCAGAAACATGAATGACTATGAGATTATATTTTCAAATGTATAGAACAATATGAAAAGAAAAGGCCTTTTTGTGGTCAGAACTCTTTTCCTATTTGTTTCAGAGAAATTCCCAATTAAAAGGTATCTTTAGGCTTATTCGTAAGAGACATATCCAATATTATTTAAGACAGCATTGCTCAAACTCACTTGAAAAATCAATACTTTATGTACAAATCGACTTTAACTTCCCAAAAGAACCATTTATATTCCCATTCTCTCCAATGAGACCATCAGATTTTTTGTATGAAAAATTATCAGTGATCTTCAGGTTACTGAATTTCATGGATATTTCTCAAGTAAAATCCTCTATGACACCTCAGCCTTATTTGATAACGTCACTCTTTTGTCCACGGGGAGAAAAAAAAAAAAATCCTTCACTTGGCTTCGGGGACCTATTCTCCTGGTTTTCTTCTTACTCCCTGGTAGCTCCTTCTCAGTCTTCTTTGCAGGTTTCATTTTATCTGATACCTTAAAATTGGAATGCCTGGCCCTCAGTTGTTGCTCACTTTGTCATTCTATATAATAAAAGGCTAATAGACAAAATGGCAGAATGACTGGTCACTATGATGCACACTGACCACCAGGGGGCAGATATTCAATGCAGGAGCTGCCCCCTGGTGGTCAGTGAGCTCTCACAGGAGGAGAACAGCTGAACCAGAAGCCCTGAGCCGGGCTCATGGCAGTAGTGGGAGCCTCTCCTGCCTCTGAGTCAGTCGGACATCACCCAAGGGCTCCCAGACTACAAGAGAGCACAGACTTGGCTGAGGGACCGCCCCCCCCCCCCCCACTAATGGCCCTCCCCCCTGAGTGCAATAATTTCATGCACTAGGCCTCTAGTTTATTTATAATCATCAAACATTCCATTTATCTGTTGATTTTGATAGAATTTATCTCTAGTCTGAAATCAAGAGAGTTTGTTGAACTGTCTTCTCTTTTGTGCCTAATTGATATTTCTAACTCAACATATTTAGTTGAAATAATCTTGCCCCCATAAACCTGCTGTACCTGCAGATTTCTGAGGAAGTCATTGGAACATCACTATCTTGATGTGTAAATTGAGGAATGCAAACACATCAGTAGTTTAAACTCTGTTTAACAAACTCGTAACTGATATAATGAATCTCCTTAGCTCCCAAGAAAGGTGAAGTGCTTGGTAGAACAGGTTGAAAGGGTTAGCTTCCCCTGCCCCTGACTTCATCTAGACCACATGTGTCAAACACAAGGCCCGCGGGCCAAATCCGTCCCGCCAGGCCTTGCAATGTGGCCTGCACCGCGCTGTCATCACTGCACTCCGCTGCGTTTCCATCACAATGACAGTTTATGACTGTTCAGTAAACCATTCGGCCCGCGATTTAGGCTGGATTTTAGATTTTGGCCCCTTCTCTGATTGAGTTTGACACCCCTAATCTAGATAGAGTTTGCTCTTCTAGCTACGTTAGATCACCTTTGAAATTTTCTTTTAAGGAAGCTGCTAGAATCTAAAGTTTGGACTACAATGGTTGTATAAAACATAACATACCTTGCTACTTAAATATTTTTCAATGATTTGATTTACCAAGAGCCCACAATGTTCAGCAAATAACACTTAAACGATGTAGGGAAAATATAGGTGTCGGAGTGAATTTCTTCAGGTAAGGAAATTCAAACCTAAAAAGTACAGCATTGAATTATAGTTTCACTGAATGGTACAGGAAGAAGGAGACCATCATTCACTGCCTCCAAGAAAAGCTGTGCTCTTTTGTTTTGGCAATCAGTCTTTTCCTAGGGAGAAAGGAAAGGCCAAGAGCTAGCTAATGTTATAGAATTTAAGGAAGTGGAACCACTCAAGGAATGGCAGACTTTGAGAAGTGAGAGTGTTTAGGGATTGGTTGAACTTCAGCTGTGAAAGCGTATTATCAAGTGGAGATTTTTTTTTTCTGATTGACTGATGTTTAGAAGCCTGGACAGTGAAAATAGAAAATAGAAAATAAAAATAAAAAGGCTGTTGCTGCTTGGCTGATTTGAAGAAGTATGCTACCTAAGAAAGCTGTCATTGATCAGATATTATGGGCTTCTACTGAATCCAGTGGTTACTTACTGTGATGTCAAAAACAGCAGTCTTTTCCTAGGAAGACAGGAACTTATTATTCTTGAGAGAAATAGAAAACATGTTTTCTTCCATGTTCAGTCATGTGCCCAAGTCATGTTTTCTCACACTTTCTCCTTTTATTAAAACTAATATCCCCTCCCCAGCCTGGACAGTGTTGCTCAGTGGTTTGGTGCCCACCCATGAACCAAGAGGTCACCAATTCGATTACAGGTCAGGGCACATGCCCAGGTGGCAGGCTCAGCCCCTTGTGGGGATGTGCAGGAGAGAGCCGAACGGTGTTTCTCTCTCATAGATGTTTCTACCTTTCTATCCCTTTCTCTCTTTCTAAAATCAATAAAGACAAAAAACAAAACAAAACAAAAAACTACCTTCCCCCCCCAACAATCTATTATAATAGAATTCTGACCAAAAGTAAAAGTGCATTTAGTGAATGGTGTGAATTAAGGAGTTAACATGGTGCTGGTTCAGATTACTTGTATTCTTCACACATGGGAGATAGATAAGAAGGGAAAAGCATAGGTCTTGCCAATAAGAATGATGCTATTTTCAAAAGAATAAGCAATTTGCAAACATGACATAGCTTTGGTAATTGCCATATTATAAAGCTTTGGGTGTGAGTATTTGAAATGTTCAAAAAGACTGGAATCTTGTTCTAGATGTTATACGCAGAATTTTAACAATGGACAAACATTAAATTGGCAAATATAAGAATTATGTTGCATTGCCCTAGCTAGTTTGGCTCAGTGGACAGAGCATCAGCCTTTGGACTGAAGGGTACTGGGTTTGATTCCAGGCAAGGGCACATGCTGGGGCTGCAGGATCAATCCCCAGTAGGGGACATGCAGGAGGCAGCCAGTCAATTATTATCTTTCATCATTGATGTTTCTGTCGCTTTCTCCCTCTCTGAATCAATAAAAAATATTTTAAAAAAAGAATTACATTGCATTAACCTCAAAATGGCTTTACAGCACTGATAAAAATGTAAACAAGTATAGAATCTATTTGTAATTCATTAGGAAGTGGAGATATCTTTAGAGAACATATTTATATTTAATTCATCATGTAGAGCCACTTTATGGAATGTTATTGATTACACTTTTGATCCCTATGTAGATTGTGTAGGCCTAATTTATTTATCTACAAATTTTTAGTATATATTTTTTGTAATAAAGTAGATATTTTCCCTTCAAGTCCAATCTACTAGAAATACTCTCAGGCTATGTTATTTTTCATTTGTTTTGTTATAGTGTTTTTAAAAACATTCTTCTTTATTTGTATGATCAAATGACTTGTTATAATTTTGGCACTTCAAAAGATATGCCAGGATACATATAAATGTACATGTACACATATATACAAATACATATGTATTTATACACACACATATATGTATTTGTATATATGAGTATATTTATATACATATATACAACATTTTATAGATATATATGAAGAAAAAATTGCTTAGAAAACATAGGTGTTAGTAATTATATATTATTTAGTACACTTTACCAGTTTGGTACATCTTAAATATTACACCAAATCTTAACTGTAACATTATTTATTCATTTTCTAATGAATTTGAACTTTGTTTTGTATTTTATGTTATGCGTTGATCATATATTTAAGATTCTATAATAATAATTCAGTTTTATTGTCTCCATTACAATTATAAGATTAACCTTATTATGTTTTCTTTACTGTAAAAATATAATTATAAATCAATGAAATAAACAAATAAATATTATATTAAACCACCTATAGTTTTCCACCTCTCCAATGGGTAACAGTTTAAAAGTTTAATAATAGTGTGCTAGAGAGGAAATACTAAGACCTTGCAGTTGATAGTATAAATTGGTTGAGTGCAATATAATTCATTCTGCACTAACAGCAGAAAATACTTTATGGTAGTTTACTGGCTATCTAACCAAACCACTGGAAATGTTGAGGGTAAAGGCTACTCATCATCAGAACAACAAGCAACACATGTCACAGAATCAGCCCAGGGAGCACATCACTGCTCAGGCCTCTGAGCACTAGATTCAGCTGCTGCAATATTAAGGACACTTATCATCTCCGCTGTAATTGTGACAGTGCTTCCAGACTTGACTGACATGATATTGCCCTATAGCCTGTTTTTTGCTATGATTCATTTCTTTTGTGTGTTCTGCATTTTTGCATCATTTACGTATTTCTGATTCAAAGCCTAGCATAGGTCACAAAGCCTCATTTAAGTCTCATGAAAAGCTCAAGAGTGAATATTTATTTCCTCAGAGGAAGTTCCGTTAAGATGCACCAGGCACTCTCATTTCCCTCCTTAGCAGATTTGCTTATCTGTGAGCAGCAGAGAGCAGTCAGACCAAGAGGATACTAGAAGCCTCATGCTTTTAGTAGTATTGGAAGGCTCGAATGCACACAGACGTTCAGAGGCAGGAAAATCTGAAGAAACAAGACTAACAGAGGATAGCTTATTATTCCATACCACTTCTCCTCTTAAGGCAGTTTTATATTTTTATCTATATGGAAGAAAAGACCAAGAAAGCAAATAAGAGCTGAAGCTGAGTCTGAAAACTACAAGAATCTTTGGTTTTCTTACAGTATTTAGACTTTAAAAGGTGGAGGTCAGGACATGACCAGTCTGAATAACTCTAGTTGATCCCCCTATTTTTTTTTTTTTGTATGCAGTAACTCTCATTACATCAAAAACTATAAAACATATCTATCGATAAATATAATACGGAATTATCTAAAATAAATAAATAAATAAATAAATAAGATCAAGATTTGGATTTACTAAAAACATTAAAACAACTGTAACTAGCTATTCCTAACAAGATGAAAATTTTCATGAGAGAATTCAGAAGAAATCATATATGGGATAATCCAGAAATAAGAAAATAAAATACAGAAATTGCCAACTCAATAAATGGTTTTTACTGATGACTGGATAAACACACACATACATACACACACACAAAAGATAATCAGGAAACTATAATATAGGGAAGTAAAAGCTGAACAGAAAATTGATGAAAAATGGAGAAAATAACATGAGAAAAATTTGGGACAAAAATTAATGTGTTGGTTATCCTAAATAAAGTACTTAAGAGATACTTCTAATACTGGAATGAGGCAGGGTGAAGGGAAGAATGATATCAGTGATTCAAGAGTAGCTTCAAACATTTAATATAATGAGTACAAAGGATATCACACCTAGGAAAATCATTGTAAATTAGAGGCTGGGTGCACAAAATTTGTACACAGGGATCAGGACTAAACACAAAATTTGTACACAGGGATTGGGCCTAAACAGGCAGTCTGATATCCCTCTCACATTCCAGGACTGCTGACTCCCAACTGTTCACCTGCCTGCCTGATTACCCCTAACCGCTTCTGCCTATGGCCTGATCACCCCTTAACCACTTACCTACCAGCCTGATCAACTCCTAACTGCTCCCTAGCTGGCCCAGTTGCCCCTAACTGCCCTCCCCTGCTGGCCTGGTCTCCCCTAATTGTCCTCCTCTGCAGGCTTGGTTGCCCCCAACTGACCTTCCCTGCAGACCTGGTCACCCCCAACTGCCCTCTCCTACTGGCCTGGTCATCCCTAACTGCCCTCCCTTGCCAGCCTGGTCACCCCTAACTGCCCTCCCCTACTGGTCTGCCCCCCCCCCAATACCCTCCCCTACAGGCCTGGTTACCTCCAACTGCCCTCCCCTGCCTGCCATCTTGTGGTGGCCCTTGTGGTGGCCATCTTGTGTCTACATGGGGCGGCCATCTTGTGTGTTGGAGTGACAGTCAATTTGCATATTACCTCTTTATTATATAGGATTGCTGAGAAGATCTGAAAAGCAACCAGAGAAAAGGCAACTTTACCTTCAAATGACCAATAATATGATTAACAGACAAATTTTCAAAAGAAACCTTTTTATATGAAGTTATTCTTGTGTTTTACTTAATTTATAGTTTATTAAATATTTAGATTAACTTATTTAAGGCAGTAAATATTTTTTTTAGCAGTGTAATTGTCTTGAGATAACAATGCCTTCATTGTTCTTCAAAATACTTTATTAGCCCAGTTAATGTGATTGCTATTGCCACCCAGCCCTCAGCTGTCAACCCTTTTCAGAGATGACCTCCATAATGTTTCATGATTACCTCAGCTGAAGGTCATCACCAAAGGTCATGAACCTGTCCCTTAGTCTCATTCAGTGATTGCTCAGCACTTGAGTAAAAATAACCTACTTTCTCATCTTGTCTTTGAACAGCTCGGACATGTCATCACACATTCAGCACTCCCTGCACAGATGGCTCAGCTACTCCAATGTAAGTGTATTGCAACTTGACTTCTTCCTCGGACTGACTCAGCTTCCTTCTTTGCTCATTTCCTAAATGAACTCCTACTCTCTGCCTCAGAGTTTTCTACTCAAAGAAACTGACCATAATTGTTCCATAATTTTTTTTTTTAATTGAATTTGTTGGGATGGCAATGGTTAATGAAATTATATAGATTTTAAGTGTAACATTCTATGATACATCATCTGCATATTGCTTTGTGTGTCCACCACCCAAAATCAAACTTTCTGTCACCTTATCCTTGATCCCTTATACCCTTTATTACTCCTTTACCATTCCCTCTGGTAACCACCATACTATTGTCTGTGTCTTGAGTTTTTATTTGTTGCTTTCCATTTTATAACACCTATATAAGTGAAATCATATGCTTCTTATTGTTTTCTGTCCTATTTTGCTTAACATGATATTGCCAAGGTGCATTCATGTTATCACAAATGGCAAGTTTTATCTTTTCTTATGGCTAAATAGTATTCTATTGCATAAATGTACCACATCTTCTAAACCATGTCATTGGTTGGTTCCATATCTTGGCCACCATCCATAAGGTTGCAATCAGCCTAGAGATGCATATATCATTGTGAGTACATGTTTTTAAATATTTAAGGTAGGTGCCCAGAAGAGGGGTTGTTGGGTTATATGATTATTTTTTTCTTAATGTCTTAAGGAACCTCCTTACTGTTTTCCATAGTAGCTTTAGCAGTTTACATTTGCACTGCAGTGGATGAGGGTTCCTTTTTCTCCACAACTTATCAACACTTGCTGCATTATTTGTCTTGTTGGTAATAGCCTTTCTAATAAGGAACAAAATAAAAAGTCACAAATTCACCATAATTTCCCCCCCCAATAACTAAGGCATATTTTTGTTTTCAGTTTAATTAAAGTTTGCATCATGTTTTCCCTCTAAAATTATTTATGATATTTTGTACTAAATATTTTTATAGAAACTAGAATAAAATTTCTATAGCTAGGTGATAATATTAAGTCAAATCGGAATAAAAGAAAAAGTATTAAAGTAATAGAGATGAGAGAGAGAGAGAGCTGCAAGTTGGAATCTCCATTCAACTAAGTTCATTGGCCTGGTACATTCTAGTAATTAGTAAAAATGTATTAGGTACACAATAAAAAGATGATTTGCAAACCAGGAGCACTCAAAGCAAACACAGAATGAAGATCAGGGGATACTGTTATAAGCAGCTCATGTAGTGAGGAGCAGTGGCTCGTTATAATATTAGAGTTTTCTTAAATAATAGTGGTGAGTGGTTATATCAAATGGTTAGTAGTTATCTCACTTCAATTTTGAGAAACAAGTTAAGTTTTGCTTATGATTTCCAAAGGCACAAACAAAACAAATTTAGGTCAACATGATTATAGTTCATCAAGACCCATTTCAGACTTCTGCCATGCAGAACCGTAAGATAATACAGTTGTGGTGCTTAAGTCATTAAGGTTTTATTATGTTTATAGTAGCAATAAGAAATAAATAAAATGAATAAGAGTTATGCAGGAAAGTCTGGCACTGGTAGAGAAATTGCCATATGCCAAAAATATAAGAGAAAAGAGAACATGCCAATTTTCTATTTTAGATGTAGTAAAATAGAGTTGGAGCATGGAATTTAAATCAGGACAAGAAGTAACTTTAAAGTAGAGACCAGTTAATGAGGACTTTTGCAAATCTTGTAGGAAAGTGAACTTTTATTAAGAGCAAGAAGAGCCTTTGAAAGCTTTTCTAAAAATATATTTTATTGATTTTTTACAGAGAGGAAGAGAGAGGGATAGAGAGCTAGAAACATCAATGAGAGAGAAACATAGGCCAGCTGCCTCCTGCACACCCCCCTATGGGGATGTGCCTGCCACCAATGTACACGCCCTTGACCTGAATCAAACCAGGGACCCTTCAGTCCACAGGCCGATGCCCTATCAACTGAGCCAAACCAGTTTGGGCTTTTGAAAGCTTTTAACACACGGAATAACTTAATCTGATTTTTGCTTTATAAAGTTCATTCTGAATTCAGTATGGACTCATGGTAGGCTGAATTACATTCAGTTGTTGTTATAATTTAGCCCACAGGTATTAATGACCTAAACTAGGGTATTTGCTGTTGTCATAAAGAGGATGGGAAAGATTAATAAATAAAATAAGGAGAAGTTGGAGTCAACTAAACATAGTGAAAATGGTGGACAAAGAGAAATAAGTGTTAATATCATGAGGTTCTTCCTTGCAAAATTGGTAGGTGGTAGAATTATGAATGATATACTGACACAGAATGAGCAGGCTGGGAGAATAGCAGGTAAGGTCAATTAAGTAATAGGCATCTCCAAGTTGAGATACAAATAAAAGTTGGATATGTGTGGTTGGCCAACAAAAGTGATGATATAGGACTGAATACATAAAGGTAACTGAAGCAGTGAAGAAATTGTATACTTTGCCACAAAGACAGCAAAGAAGAGATGGATCTCGAATATAACTCTGGGAACAATAACTTTTAAGAAATTTTTTCAAACCTTAATTTAAATCTAATTGTGCAACTTTTTGCTGTTTTTCTATAGCAGGATTTTGATTCTGAGAAAACAAGATATAAACCATGCCTCTACATTAATAGGTCAAGTTCTTTAATTACTTTGAAACTGTTTTTCTATTTTCAAATGGTTATAATAATTTCCAGTTTGATGTTTGTCTAAGGACAAAATAGGGGATAGTATGTGGAATGCCTAGCAAAATGATTAATGAACTAAGGATTTAGTGACCATTTTGTCATAGTAACTAAACAATGGCTATTATTTGATCATTAATTAACTATTAACAATGAACAAATCATTAACAGTTAATCTGATTTAATATATTTTATATATAAATACAATTTTCTTGTTCTTAGACATAAAAAAATTGATTTAATCTATTGCTCATAAAAATGCAATTAGTGTCCAAAGATTACAGCCTCATAATCTAATAATTCTTTTTTTTTTTTTTTTACCATTTTAATATTTTTCTTAAATGAGGGTTAGAAGAATTACTATATAACTGTTTCTTCAATTAAATGACAAGATCTTTGAGTGTAGCAGCATGCTTTCCAATTATGTGATATGATTTTTTTTGTAGCAAGCATAGGGGTATATGCATAACATGTTTTCAGTTTTTAAAAAATGTACATAATCCACCGAAACCGGTTTGGCTCAGTGGTAGAGTGTCGGTCTACGGACTGAAAGGTCTCAGGTTCGATTCCAGTCAGGGGCATGTACATTGGTTGCAGGCATATCCCCGGTAGGG